GCCCTGAACGCAGGAGTGCTATTATTGAAAGAGAGCTGAGGTGCTTTAACATCGATATAGCAGCACTCCAAGAGACCCAGAGATCAGGAAAGGGATAGCTGATGGAAGAAAAAGGGGGCTACACCTTCTTCTGGAAGGTACTGCTTGAACAAGAATGAAGAATACATGGAATCAGTTTCACAATCTGGAACAACATGGTGGAGCATCAGTCTGAAGCACCCATTGGTAAGAACAAGTGACTCTCAACCCTCCAAACCAGTGGTTCCCAACAGTTTTTTGACCAGGGACTACTTAACCAAGGACCACTTTGACCAGGGACCATTCTCCAGCATTAGTACCAAAAGGGTTACGAATCAGTTTTTGGTCAACTTTAGATTCAGATTGGGGTGCTGATTCAGAAAATTGTGTTGGATAGACCATGTCAGCTCTAGTTTCTGATACAGAACATTTGCCATAGTCAGCGACAGGGAAGGAGTGGCAGATGTTGTGAAAGGAGCGGAAATAAAATAAATAAATAAATAAAGAGGAAGGAGGTTTGCACACAAGATTTTTGTCCTCAAGGCCCACTGGTAGTCCACGACCCATGGGTTAAGAACCACTTTTCCAAACTAATCTTGCCAGAAACAAACAACAACTATCATAAGTGACTATGCACCAACACTAGATGCTGATGAAGACATAAAGGATTTTTTTTTTACTTTCAGCTGAAAACCATCCTATCAGAGATACCGAAGGAAGTAAAAATCCTTCTCCTGGGTGATTTTAATGCAAGAGTTGGATGAGATTTCAACCTGTGGCTAGGGACTATAGGGAAAGATAAGGTTGGAAACAGCAACTCAGTTGGCATCCTATTTCTCACCAAATGTGTGGAACACAACCATGTCATCACCAACATGCGCTTCTACCAGAAAAAACAAGTTAAAGGTATCATGGAAGCACCCCTGGTCAAAGCACTGACACCTCTTACACTATGTAATTATATGTAACAGATATCACAGTGATGTGCTTCTTACAAGAGCCATGACAAGCACTGATGACTGCTGGACAGACCACAGGTTAATTCAATCCATAGTGGCCATCAAGATTGCCCCCAAACACAGACTTCAAGGAAGAGAGATAGGGTGTAAAATGAACACCTAAACCTTTATCGAGCCCTCTAAATGAACCCTTCTCCAAACAACACTTGAGGATCATAGAATCATAGAATCAAAGAGTTGGAAGAGACCTCATGGGCCATCCAGTCCAACTCCCTGCCAAGAAGCAGGAGTATTGCATTCAAATCACCCCTGACAGATGGCCATCCAGCCTCTGTTTAAAAGCTTCCAAAGAAGGAGCCTCCACCACACTCCGGGGCAGAGAGTTCCACTGCTGAACGGCTCTCACAGTCAGGAAGTTCTTCCTTGTGTTCAGATGGAATCTCCTCTCTTGTAGTTTGAAGCCATTGTTCCGCGTCCTAGTCTCCAAGGAAGCAGAAAACAAGCTTGCTCCCTCCTCCCTGTGACTTCCTCTCATATATTTATACATGGCTATCATATCTCCTCTCAGCCTTCTCTTCTTCAGGCTAAACATGCCCAGCTCCTTAAGCCGCTCCTCATAGGGCTTGTTCTCCAGACCCTTGATCATTTTAGTCGCCCTCCTCTGGACACATTCCAGCTTGTCAATATCTCTCTTGAATTGTGGTGCCCAGAATTGGACACAATATTCCAGGTGTGGTCTAACCAAAGCAGAATAGAGGGGTAGCATTACTTCCCTAGATATAGACACTATGCTCCTATTGATGCAGGCCAAAATCCCATTGGCTTTTTTGCCGCCACATCACATTGTTGGCTCATGTTTAACTTGTTGTCCACGAGGACTCCAAGATCTTTTTCACATGTACTGCTCTCAAGCCAGGCGTCCCCCATTCTGTATCTTTGCATTTCGTTTTTTCTGCCTAAGTGGAGTATCTTGCATTTGTCACTGTTGAACTTCATTTTGTTAGTTTTGGCCCATCTCTCTAATCTGTCAAGATCGTTTTGAAGCCTGCTCCTGTCCTCTGGACTATTGGCTATCCCTCCCAATTTGGTGTCGTCGCATATCAGATGACCTTGCCTTCTAACCCTTCATCTAAGTCATTAATAACAACATTTTGAAAATGCTGAGGAACATTGGAATAAACTGAAGACCTCTATAATTACAGCTTGTGAAGAAATCTTTGAATACCAATCTAAGAAACATCAAGACTGGTTTGATGAAATTGTAAAGAGATCCAACAGTTAATCAATAAGAAACTGAAAACCTTCCAAATATGGCAGCGAAATCCCTACTGTGCTGCTAAGCAAAAGCTGAGATCCAAGGAAGGACCAGAGAACTCAAAAACATCTGGTGGACAAAAAAGGCTGAAAAAATCCAACACCTAACAGCTTTCCATTATACACAAGGATTATTTAATGCCACAAAGATCATCTATGGCCCAACAAGTTATGGAATACCCCCTCTTTACTCATCAGATGGTACTAATTTCAAAAGGACAAAAAAATCAGTTCCATTATATTGAAAAGACCATTATCATAATCTCCTTAACCACAGCTCCAACACAACCAAAGAAGTCCTCTTGCAAATCCCCGCAACAACAACTCAGGGAGAAGCTTGCAGCACTGCCTAGTTTAGAAGGAGTGAGCAAAGCCATTAGCCAGTTAAAAAATAACAGAGCCGCTGGACCTGATGGGATCCCTGTTGAAAACTTTAAAGAAGGTGGTCATGATCTGAAACAACTTCACCAGCTCATTGAAAAACTATGGGTGACTGAGAAGACCCCAACAGACTTCAAGAATGCCACTATCATCACCCCTTTCCAAAAAGGAGAAAGAACAGGTTGTGGAAACTATTGAGGTATCTCCCTTTTAACCTCCATTGGGAAAATCCTCACAAGAATTCTTGCAAACCACCTTTTACCTATCTCAGAAGACATTCTCCCTGAATCTCAGAATGACTTCTTGTCCTCCAGAGAAACAGTAGATATGATCTTCACTGCATGGTAGCTCCAAGAACAAAATCAGCCTCTGTACATGACATTCATTAACCTTACAAAAGCATTCGACACAGTGGATTACAATGCTCTCTGAACCATCCTCTTCAAAATGCCCGGATAAATTTATCATTCTCCAATGGTGACATGAAGAGAAAAGGCTTGGACAGCAATGGCTCTCAAAGTGACCCATTTTAGGTGAAATCAGGTATCAAACAGGGATGTCTTATCGCCCCAACCTTATTGTCCATCTACATAGCCATGTTTCTGCACCTTGTTGATGGGAAGCTTCCCACTGGTGTGGAAATCACCTATCACACAGATGGCAAACTATTTAACCTCTGCAGCCTGAAATTCCAAAACCAAGGTCACAACAGCAAAAGGGAGGAACGTGTCAAGAGGAAGACACATCAAGCCAACCGTTGTTGTGACCTCCTTCCATCTGGAAATCAATGTCCTCACTGTGAAAGAATATGTGGATCCAGATCGGTCTCAACAGTCACCTACAGACCCACCACCAAAACTCTACACTTGGAAGACAATCACTTGACTGCGAGTGATAGCCTACGATGATGATGATGATGATGAAGACGACGATCTGGAAAATCAATTTTGTCACTTCTGGAACTTTGGAGATTGTAGATGTGTGTGTGTGACAAAGAGTTCCCTTTGAAGTAAAAAAAAAAGTTGGCTGATCTTCTGCCCTGCCAGGAGCTAATTAGTGGAGTTTCAGCAGAACTAATAAAAATTGTTCTTTCTCAAATCCCAGAGCAGTGATTAGTCCCAGAAGTCTCTAGTGGAGAACTCTTCCTATAGAAAACCTTAGAAGATTCTTGGTTATTATTTGTTAATTAACTGTTTCAAATTCACATTTTAACTACAGCACATTAAGTCCCTGCTGGTCTGTGACCAAATAACTAATGAGTCCTCTTATTGAAGTATATGATTATGAACATAGAAGAAGTCATCCTTGATTTATATTCTCCATAAATCTTACATGCTGATGCTGCACAATATACCCCATTAATATTTCACCTACTTCTACAAATATTTCATTACTTTGTAATATTTTGACTAATACCTAGGTATATGTATGTATGTGTATATATACATGTATACGTATGTATGTGTACGTGTGTATATCCAGCTTGGTTGCCAGAACAAGTGTGATATTTGAAGTTTTAAAGAAGAAAGTGCATTCTTTTTCCTTCTTACACTGAAAACATTCTGTTTGTTCTCCTCCTATTTTTTCACTGTTCTGATGAGGCTAGAAGACAGCCAAGATGAAGGTCCAGTTCTTTGGCCTGTGTTTGTTTAAACTTTCACTGGAAGTGGTGGAGTTCAAAATCAATGTAGTTGTTTGGAATGAGCAGGCCTGCGTCTTCATCTCGTCTTGTTTGGTATTTGTTTTATACCTGGTTTTTTTAAACCAGCACTCTCTAGTCAAGTTTAGACATTTTAGTCAGAAAATTGATCTGTGTCGACTTACCCATGATCAATGAAAGTTGTGTGGCTAACTCTTACCAAAAGGGTAGAACTGTGAAAGGTGAGAACCTGGGGTACATCTACACTGCAGGATTAATTATTGTTTATTTCTGAAGCCTGATGGATTATTATTTAGTGTTGCCTTTTGCTCTCCTTGTTCTCTAGGGATATATAAGACGAGAAGAAATGCCTTCTTTTTAAGTAGTTTTTCCTTTCCTCATGTCATCTGTGCCCTTTCTCTCTCCATCCAGGGAGGAAAAATAAAGCGATATAGTAGTAGTGAGAAATAATATCTCTTTAACACCAGCAGGAAGAAAGATGAATTATAAAGCCAGAGAGATAGCACGTTTGCAGCAAGTTATTTTTGGTAATAAGCCATTTACAGAAAAAATGCATAAAAGCAGCACACCATAATTCAGAGGAGCTTTAAATTGCAAGTCTAGTGTGTGCCTGGACTGGAAATGTTAATCCCTTTCATACTCAACTGTGATTTCTTTATTTCCTGCAGGAAGTCGTCTGAACAAAGATCTGAGACATTATCTCAACCAGAGGTTTCAGAAAGGATCTCCAGATCATGAGCTGCAACAGACTATTAGAGATAACCTTTATCGCCATGCTGTGCCTTGTAAGTGAATTAACAACTCATCTAGTGGATTTGGTATAATAAAACTCATGCTTCCTTTGACGGCAACCTTTTAATGTCAGCTGGTGGGGCTACTATATGAAAACCTGGTTTTGATACCATGGCAATGATTCTAGTTGCAACTGAGAAAATGTTGAGTTTGCATTATTGGTGGTTTTACAGTGTATGGTGGTTTCAAAGCTAGTATCTCATGGTGGGCAGGTAGAGCTCTATCACACATATCCTGACATCCCCTGTTTAGAAGATCAGGCAATAAGGAATAGTAAAGATTTCTGCCTGATGTGTTAGAAAATAATAATAATACATTTTATTTGTACCCTGCCCCATCTCCCTGAAGGGACTCAGGGCAGCTTACATCAAGGGTTAAAGAACAATAAAGAATATGGTTGGCTGTCTAAGCACCTCAGATGTTTTTGACCTGGAGCTCCCAGAATCCCTCATCACTGGTTAGCTGGGAGATACAGAGAAAAGAAACGAAACAAAAATCTGGTTGGTATGAGTTGACAATTTCTTCCTCTGAAGATTGAAGCAGTCCATATAGCCGGTGATGGTGTATTTTGATTGATATTTGCAGCTTCTGTTTTGAGAGTGTTTGTGAACTCTGAGACTGCTGATCTTCATCTATAGATTTCGCATCCTAAAAAGACTATGGTGTGGACATTGAGATAAGATGCTGAGCGGGTACAGGGAAGGTTATGGGGATGCTGAACCTGGTTTGGTAGACCTTGTTGGGGGCGGTAAATGTTTATGAAGTTGGAATACAGGTTGAGTCTCTCTTATTTGCAATGCTTGAAACCTGAAGTGTTTCATATTTTGGATCCTTTTGGATTTGGAATAACTCTGTTTGCATTTAAATAGTGAGAGATAGGGTGTAAAGGGGATTAGTCATACATCCAGTGCAAACTGAGTTTTTCCTTAAGGAGCTCTTACTCCATCACTATCAGAAATTTGATGGAGGAAAGAGAAGTAGCTCTCATAGCTGGGACGAGAAAACCAAATCGATCCAACAACACCAGCTTCTATCCTTATAAAAGGGTAAACTTGCACTTTATCTATCAACTCTTCCTCACAACTGATTGTATTGGCCCCTCGCCCGTTGTATCTCAGGTTACTGGTTATCTGTTTGATTATTGTTTTATATTGTGTTATGCCATTGTTTTATTTTGCTTGTTGCTGTTTTTATGAATTTTAATGTGTTATTTTATCTATGTTGATTGGGCTTGTCCCAAGTCCCTTCAGGAGATGGAGGCAAGGTACAAAAATAAAGTTATTATTATACATTATATTATATTATACATTATATTACTGTTATTATGTAGCATCAGTTTTTGGAGCTTGTACAGAACAAGGACATGTGCTCAGAAAACTACCACCAGAACCCTTTGGATCTGTAGTTTGACTTCATTGCATACATCATCTTCCCCTTTTTTGAAACCCCAATTTTAGAAATGACGAATAAAGTAAATTAGCCTTAGTTCTGTTGAAGCATTTTTTTTCTGCGTTGCCAAGGTTACGTTCTGAAATGCTCTAGACTTGATTCTTTTCTTTGATTTATTGGACTTGACTGTGAACTAAACTACTTTGCTTGTTTTTTAATCTCACCAAAGGCCCTGATTATAGAATTTGATTTGTGTAGGTGTGGGGGAGAAGAGAAAATGACTTATGCTATTTAATTTAATGTTTTAAAAAATGGAGTTGTGATGCTGAATGAGAGATATTTCTGTTCTCTTATTAATATAAACCTATGTATTTGTGCCTTAGTTATGTAACCAACAGAGAAACCTGAAAAGGAGAGTTAGCCGTTACACATGTTACCTTTACTTACACAGCATTCTTTCAACCTAACTTGTGTTTTCTACAAGTTAGCTGTTTTTACATGTTTTGCATATAATAAAGATACACTGGATGGAAAGTGAATGAAGCTACTATATGTATAGTAGCTTGGAGATGGCATGAGATTGTGGGAGGAAGAGTGACTTTTTTTTAACCCAAAGCTAAAGCTTAATCTGGCTGCATACTATTTTTTTTTATTCTTTGATACACGTGACCAGAAAATCCAGTGCTCTGGGCCAATCTCTATTGCTAATGGATTATGAAGTCTTATATTTTGAAAATGGAATTCCCTGCTGATTATGTGGTAAACACGTTAACGGCTCACAAGGTCACTTGCACTGAGCAGGGCTGCCTGCTGATTGTTATTGCTGAAACCCATAGATGTGCTGAAATGATGATTAATGGCCCAGAATATGTAAAACAGATTCCTACCTCTAGGTCCAGCACTATTCCCTTGAAATCCTTACAGAAGATAGGTCAGACGAATATTGTGTTGGCACACCAAAACCAATCATCAGTAAAACTGGCACTGCCATCAGAGGCAATAGCCGGGTGACTACTTTACAACTGTTCTCATAGCAACTAGCATGTTAGGACTGGGGTCAGATAGCAGTTCTCCATTATATAGTATGGACCTCATATCTGCAAGGGATCTCTTCCAAGCTCACCAAGAAAACAGGAAAGTATACTTGTGAAGCCCACCTAGCAAACAAAGAAAAGCAGAAAGTGGGAAGCAACCGCCCTGAGTCCCTCTGAGGAGAGAGGGCGGAGTACAAATAAAGTGTTGTTGTTACTTTTTTGTCGTTGTTATGGCTTTTCTTGCTTGCTTATTTAGTTCATTTCCCAAGATTATCCCTCCAAAAGCAGGAATCCTTCAATAAACGTAAAAAGGAAAACACATTGGCAATGGCATACAGGGACCATACTACTCCTGTTGCATTAGCTCGACTGGATGCCAGTTAGCTACTGGTCCCAATTCAAAGTGCTGGCTTTGGCCTATAAAACCCTGAACGGTTCTAGTCCAACTTACCAGTCCAAACACATTTCCCTTTATGAGCAAACTAGAACTTTAAGATCTACTGGGGAGGCTCTGTTCTCAGGGCCCACCAGTCACAATTGCGACTGGTGGGGACAAAAGACAGGGCCTTCTCAGTGGTGGCCCCTCAGCTGTGGAACCCCCTCCCCAGTGACATCAGGCAGGCTCCATCCCTTCTGATCTTGAGAAAAAAGCTCTGTATGCAGACATTTGGAGAATAAGATATTAAGGATTTCGACACAGTCTGAATAAGAACCATGGATCAGTCAATAAATATGGAATCAAGATTCGGCACGTTATGTTTTAAATCTGTTATTGTTCTGTGTATTTTATCTGCTTATGTGTTTTGCTTTATAGTTTTATGAGGTATGCTTTTATTGTTATGTTTATATGCGGCATTGAATTTTTGCCGGAGTCTGTAAACCACCTCGAGCCCCCTGCAGGGTGAGAAAGGTGAGGTATAAACAAAGTAGATACGTTTTATTGATTGGCCTATTGGCCGTATCAAAACATTTAACACATAACACAATTAACACATAGTCATACATAGTCATACATACAACATACAACCCTCGGTATAAAAGGAGTTAAAATAAACAAGCTGTCAACAGGATCTCGTTCAGATCAAATGTCTGCGTCACCTCCACAGTTTACCCCAATTGATTCTAAATGTGCAATTCTCAGCTGTGTTGCTTTGAATAGAAAAAGGGCTGTTTTGTGTGTTATTTTAGGGTTCTGTCCGGCCAACAAAAATGAGGTTTTAATATATGGGTCCCAGTGTGGTTTTTTTTGAATAATGTATGGTCCAAGGCAATGGTCTCTCTCTTTCTTATACAGCTCACAGTTGAACAATACATGTGTGATATAAACAAAGTAAATAAATAAACAACCAGCAACATAAGCAAAAATGCAAAGAGCAAAAGTTACCAATCAAAATAACCTCTTCCATTTCCATGTGGGTTTCTTCTAGTCCTCTTGAATAAATAGGAAAATCAACAGTAATTATGCAAGTTGAAACAATCAATATGGAAAATATATTAGACAGTGATGGAAATTGTAACTGTAGTACTTGTTACTACTAGAGCTGTGAGGAACTGTAAAAATAGTAAATTCTACACATTACTATAATTTCTCCCAATTGAATGCACTGCTTAGAGTCATTGGGAGTTGTAGTTCAGAAACATATTGAGGAGCACAAATCCCCAGTCATGACCCAAAGATGTGTTGTTTTAGAAAACTCTTCTTCACACATTGCTCCAAGGTTATGTTGTTATCATTCTTTCTCCAGTTATAAATTCCCATTCTTGATGGAGGCAAATGCTACTGCAAAAACACCAAAGGCATACATCTCCATTTTTCCATAATCGTAGCCAAGTTCATTAATTATTTCACTCAATTTATCCTAGCTTTCTTAGCAGCATATCAAAATGGGGGCTATTTTTATAGTATCCTTATCATCCATTAATGTTAGCAAAGATAAATGTAATCACACTGTGCTCTCAGGAATGCTCTAAAGCGGTTGAAGATTGTGTAGCATTTTGCCAGAACATAGGAAGCTCTAATGTGCCATGGATAAATTACATGAAGAGATTTTTCATAAACAACAACAACAACAACTGCACGGTAGAGATAGCACATAAAGTCTCCGCCATCCCCGTTGGCTATGTTTCACAGAGGAAAGCCATTAAAGTAAATTGTTCTCTAGAACCACATACAGACTTGTTTCCTGAATGTGTTTACAATATTAAGCAAAGTAAAGGTCCTAAATGTGAGGCAAGGCACCAAAAGAGAGTTCAAAGGCACGAGTGTCTTTTCCCAACCATTATATCTTAGTGAGAAAACAGACACTGAAATAAAATGTTCCCCTGCATAAAATGTGGATTTCCATCCTTTGCTCTTGCCTGCCCATATATGCATTTTTCAGAGCTGTTAATCACTGGAGGATTGCTTTGCTTTTCTATTTCCAGTCCATTTTAACTATGAATTTTAAATTCAAAATCTTTGTTCCATGTATTTTAATATGTGTATTTTATTTAAATGTGTTTTAATATATGCATTTTATTGCATGTATTTATGATGTATTTTAACTGTTATATTATTATTAATGCTGTTG